CATTGTTTTTTATTACCTCTTCTTTCATAGTACCATTTTTATTAAGGATTTACTTATTCTATACTATTCTTATTTCTGTATTGATTATTTTCACCTTTTAAATAAATTTTCCTTATTCTTGTTTCTTCTTTCTATAAATACATTTAAAGATTATATCCTAAAATGTTCACATAATTTGTTCTGTTAACCTCAAAATGAGTTGTAGTCAAAAATAAATGAATTAAGAATAACTCTGTGAAATCACCATTTCCTTTCTTCTCTGTACCCAATATTTCCATTCCCTCTTCGCTCAAACCGATCACTACGTTCATTTGGTCTATAGTCATCTCTACGATCACTTGATTTATAGTCATCTCTACGATCACTTAATTTATAATCATCTCTACGATCACTCGGTCTATAATCATCTCTATAATCACTTGTTCTGTAATCGTCCCTACGGTCACTTGCTCTGTAATCGTCTCTGTATTCATTTAGTTTAAAGTCATCTCTACGGTCACTCTGTCTATAATCGTCTCTACGGTCGCTCGATCTATAATCATCTCTACGATCACTTGACCTATAATCATCTTTGTGGTCACTCTGTCTATAATCATCTCTACGATCACTTGCTCTGTAATCATCTCTATGGTCACTAAGTCTATAATCATCTTTATGATCACTAAGTTTATAATCATCTCTACGTTCAAAGTGATCGTTTCTATAATCTTTTCTATCTACTTTTCGTTCGTATCTACTAGTTCTATATCCTGCCTTTCTGTAATCATCATCCCTTCTATCCAAAAGATGGTCTCGACGTTCCCCTCTACGATCATCAGTTCGACAGGCAACTTCTCTTCTTTCAAAAGGAGAATAACCTCTGTCTCTTCTTATAGGACTTTCATTTCTTCTTTTATCTTCACCACGTCTTCTTTCAATAGTGCCTCCTAACCTCTTTGGTTTAAATGACTCTTCTGTTCTTCCTTTTTCCATTTCAACAACAATTATTTTTTCTTCAATTCTCATTCCATTTGCTCTTCTACATGCCCTTTCTGCTTCACTTCGATGATTATATTCAACAAATGCATATCCTTTATTTATACCTTTTAAATCTTTTATTATCACAATTTTTTTTATTTCACCATATTCACCAAACAGTTGTTGTAATATTGACTCATCAGTTTTCTTTGGTAAACGAAGAACAACAATAGTTCTGTTTGGGTTATCAGTTGCTTTTAAATTATGCGTAGGATCCCCTATATTAATAAGTATTTCAATTAAGCTTTAATTGAATGACGAACAAACTAATTCTTTTCAAGAATGATATCAGGCTTTCAACCACTTCATAAAATGAAAAGTGGTTGTTGTTCTGAACCTTATAAATTAAATTAGTAAACAAAAAACAAACAAGTTTGAATTTGAGTACGAAGTGATCGAGTTTTTTCTTCTTTCATTTTAAGAAATCTTAACTCACGTAATCCACTTTTAGTCCAAGTTGGTGCAAATGAATCAGCACCCTCAGTCTTTTTTTCATTATTCGGTTCTATTTGATCAAACATTGTTAAATACGATGAAACCCCTGAATAATTTGGGAACCAGTGTTTCTCTATTGGTGGTAGAAATCTTATAGGTTCATCAGGAACAAATAATGCAGCAAAATTCTTGGGTAATAAACAAACCATATCCTTTTGTTTTTTTTAAAGTTTTTTATTTTTTTTCATTAAACTATATTATAACTATTTAAAACCATTTTATTAATTAGTAGTTCTCTTTAAGAATAACAAAAATTCAAATTAGAAGAAGTTTCGTTTTTGTTTATCAATGGAAGGTTGATATTCATCAAGTAATTGTTGTAAACGAGCTGCAATAGCCTCACTTTTTGTTTTTGATTCTTTTGAAAGGCCTAATACAAAAACAGCTGACCTCAACGCACGAATATATTTATAATCAGATAACTTACAAGAAGTTAAAAACATTTTTCGTGCTTCTTTTACTGCATTTAACTGAAGAGCAATTTCACCAGCAAATTGCCACATATAAAAATTAGATGGTTCCATCATTACAACTTCTTGCATAATATCAAATGCATCGTTGTATCTAATTTCTGTACAATACAATTCAGCTAATTGAACAAAGGCTTGTGTTTCCATATAAATTTCATTATACTTTTGTAATAAAGATATTGCCTCTTCATTATTTCCTTGTTGAATTCTGAGGGCAATTAATCGTTGAATTGCCTCTTTGTTAATTGGGTCTTTCTTAAGTATTTCAGTAATAGTAATTTCAATATTTTCAATATTTCCACTTTTTTCTGCAATGATGACCTTATCCATTGGTTTGCCCTTTTATTTGATTTTTTTTTTTTCTTTCTAAAAAGAATGAAAAACAAAATTTATCATCTTTTTTATAACAACAAAATTTCAAATAACATTTTTCTACTCTTTGGATATTTTTTTAAATATTTATAAATAAAAGGAAATATACTTTTGCAATTATCACTGAAAAAACATATTCAATCAATAAGAAAGTAGTAAATAAGACTAGTATTTCATTTAATATATACATTTATCAATATATCTCTTTTACTATAATTATATTTGTTTATAAATTATTTTCATAGATACTGTTTCTGTTTTATCAAAATAATCGTTTATTTCATAAACTCTTGTTTAAAAAGTTTGTTTTATTAAGACTTAAGAATAATAAAGTTTTTAATCCTTCACAGTTACTAATTATGTTTATTGATATTTTATATTCTAAGAAATTACTAAGAATAATAGTAACTAATATTTATGTAAAAAAAATTCTTTTTGTATGAAAATCATGATGGATTATATTTCAATCTCAGAATAAATAAAAAAATACAAATAATTAACTATGAGTAAGATATGAAACTCTTTTTATTTTTATATTAATTTTTCATGTATTTTTATAAAAATATATTTTTAATTTTTATATCAGAGTTGTTTAATTTTAGTGTAAGGTATTGGACTTGCATAATATTCTAATATGATAGATGAAATTAAATCAAGTAATTATTCTGCTCATTCATTTTTGTGTATTTATATTACTTGAATTATGTTATTATGTTTTTGATTCTAAAGAATAAATATGCATAAAAATATGTAATTATTATTTATAATCTTTTATTATAAAAATTTTATTCTAAGTTTGATTCTTTCTTCATAATCAGAGCATACCTTTCGTTTATGACTAGAAAAAAAAGAAATAAAAATGAAAGAAAAATTTAATTAGTAAGTTTTCCTTCCTGTAGTTTAATGATTAAATTCTCACAAGCATCTTCAAGAATATCAATGACTCTATGAAAACCAATTTCTCCACCATAGTAAGGATCAGGAACTTCAGTTGTTTTAATAGTAGTACAAAAATCAACCATTTTAAATATTTTTTGTTTGTATTGTTCAGGACATCTATCAAGTAACTCGTAATAATTGTCATTATCCATTGCAAAGATATAATCAAAGTTTTTAAAATCAGAAGAAACAACAGGACGTGAAATTGAATCAACTTGATATCCTCTTGACTTTCCTACTTTTCTCATTCGAGAATCAGCTTGTTGTCCTTCATGATATGAACATGTTCCTGCAGAGTCACATGTATATTTTTCAGTTAGGTGATGGTTTTGAATCACTTTTTTCATAACAGCCTCTGCAGCAGGAGAACGACAAATATTGCCTAAACAAACAAACAACAATTTCATGTGAAGAGTTTAGTCCAAATAAAAAGAAAAACCCTTCTTATAGGAAACAATATGAGACAAAAATGAAAAAAAAAAGTGAAATTCAAGGAGACAAATAGATTTACTGTGAATAATCCTTGATAATATCATTTAATTTAGATACTATCACATCAAATCGTGGACGTTTACTTTGGTCTTGATCCCAACACTTTTCTATTAATTCAGCAATACCATTTGGGAATTGTTTATCTAATGGAAGTCTTTCACCACTTACTACTTTTTGTTGAATTTGTGCATTAGATAAATCACCATATGGTATTTCATTTGTAAAGATATGATACATTGTCATTCCAAATGAAAACACATCAATAGGGAGTCCATGTTCTTTTAATTCCATTACTTCTGGTGCCATATATTGGTATGTTCCTGGTGATTTTTTAATCAATTCTCCTTTCTTTAATTTATAAATTGTAGTTAAATCATGTAATTTAACTGTACATTTTCCTTCATTTGTAATATCATGATGTACAATTCTTAATTTACTTGGTTTAACATTACGATGAATAATGTTATGTTGTGAAAGATAAAGAAGAGCATTAGCACAATCACTACAACATCTTAATAAGAATGGAACAGCCATTTTTTCTTTTTCCATTAAACTTTGAAGATCAGTAACTGTATCTCCATCAAGTAGAATAGTGGATGAAGATAATACAATTCCTGCCATACCAAGAATTGCTGGATGATGAATATCTCTATAAACACTTTGAATAAATTCATAATCTTGTTTTTCAAATTCATCTTTTACATTATATTTGAATGCAACAACACTTTCATTTTTTACCATAGATAATACTCCATTGATCATTCCAACTCTAAATTGTTCATCATCTGATGATTTTACCAAATCTTTTTCATTATAAGCTGGAACAACACCTTCTAATTGGAAACGAAGTGCTCGTTGAATACTTTCACCTCCCATTAATGATTTTTTCTTTAAAGAAAATTGAACTTGACCAGTTAATCCCATTGTAGCATAATGACGAAATACTAATGTAATTTTTATTTGAATTCGTTCTCCTTTTTTAATAGTAAACTTACTTTCATCAACACTTAATTCATATTTTGGTGATTCGCCAGTTGTCACTGTTAATTTATAAGTACTATCTGTGTTATTATAAAAACCAATAGTTTCACTTAATGGAATTCCTTGAATAGCATAATTACTTCCAAATGTAAGCTTTTCAATTTTCTAATATGGTGTAAATATCAAATACGTTTTGAATTTTTTTATGAACGTAAAGGTAATTAAAGTATAAAATAAAAATTAATTTCATATAGTAATTTCTAGGATATTGTAATATTTACTAATTAATGAAATTATTTAAATGAAAGAAACAAACAGGTTCAAGGGTAAGAGGAAATTCAGCATCGAAGTTTGTAGAAATAGAAGCAGAAAGTTGCTGTCCTTTTGATGACATGATATATTCAGTTTTCAGTTTCAATTTTTAGAGGTATAAAAACATATTAAAACCATAAAAGAGCTATAATAAAACTAAAAATAATTATAATTACTACAAAATATTTGAGAAAACTTAAAAAGTGAAATTGCTTTCATTTAGTTTAATTTGAGATACAATAGTGAAAAACTAGATGAAATTTTATCATAATTTATAAGTTTCTCATTGAGTGAAAAAGAATTGATTTAAAATTTCTTTAACAGAAAATAAATTCATTAAAACTTTAAAATAAATAGATTTTATATTAAGAACTAAGACAATAATCTAATACATTCATCATTTTTATTTAATTGTAAACCAAAAGAATTATAGGTAACATTTAATTCTCTTCTATATCACTATCTGAATCAAAACTAGTTGTTTCATATGAGTTGGTATAATAAAAATCTTCACTAAGATTACTAAGCTCTCTATCACGAATACTAAAAGACTCAAGAAGTTCATTAATTTCTTCACAATTATCCAATGTTGTTTCTGAATCATCTTCTAATAGTTGTAAAGCAGAAAATACAGAACAATCTTCCATCATAACAGCGTATACATTTTCATTACTTGACTTATATTTTTCACCAATAATTAATACAATTCTTAATACTTTAATCATCCAATGTAAGAAAGTATTTTTAATTTCTTTTGTTTTATGTTTTAAACGAAGTAATGAATCAAATGCAGTACATATTTCTGGTGTTCTCATAATACGAGCTATATACTCTTCACGTACAACAACAATTGTGTTAATAAGACAATACCCACAATCTACATTATATATTCTATCAGTACTATTTATGATTTCATTAACTAAAACTTTTATGTATTTCTTATCTACAAATAATTCTGCTGGAGATGAATCTTTTCCACCAAGTATATTTGATAAACACCATGTAGCTGTTTGTTTTATTTCATTATCTCCTTCTATTATAATCGCATTCCATACATCTAATACTCCTTGTTTAACAAAATAATTAATTGGTATATCAGTTACACCACATGCTACACCAATTCCATTAAGTGCTTCTTTAACAACTTCACTATTTCTTTCTTTTAATCCAATAACTAATAAAGGAGCAACTTGACTTAATATTTTTTCACAAATAGTTTCATCAGAAAGAAGACGTGAAAAACAAATAAATATTTCAGATATAATAGTTCCATCATTTGTAGCAAGACATGACAACAAATAATCAAAACATGGTTTATATAAATCAAAATTAATTTTTGGAGAAAGAAATGAAAAGTTGTTAAATAACCAAATTAAGTATTTGTTTTGTGGTACTAGTCCATTTTGTATCATTGGAAGAAGAACAGGCATTGATAAATTAAATACATCATCTCTTGCCATAATATTACTACAAACAAGGTTACAATAAATCCAACAAATACTTTGAAAGTATTGTTGATTATTAAGATAAGGTAATAAAACTTGAATAATATTTAATGCTAGTAATTTGTCTGTTCCAGTATCATCTCCAGTAATATAAATAAGAATATTAAGTATATCATTAGTAGGTTGATTTGGTATTGTTATTTGAATATATTCAATAAGTTTATTTATTACTCCATTTGTAAATAATTCTTTAACAACTTCACTGAATTTATCTGGTATACGAGAACTCTTTTTTACAATACTTTTAATTAAGTGAATTGCATTAAATACTATTTCTGGTGTTGGTGATAACACTTGTGTACAAAGTTCATGTAATTGAGGTGGATTAACGTTTTGTTCTTCATGTTCATCTTCTGATTTTATAGACCTTCTATTATTAAGCATTTTATTTCTTCTCTCATTTCTTTTCTTTAACAGGCTAGAGCTTCTTAATGCACATTGATCAGTTATTGAATCATTTCCTTTTCTAAACATTAGGTTAAGTGAATATCACTAGTTCTCTTTCTTTTTTCTTTCTTTAAAAATTATGTTATTTATTTTTTGTTATTTATTTTTCAAAAAGGAAAACTAAAAATATTAAAAAATTTTAATAATGAGATCTTTCTAAATAAAGAACAAATGAATTAAAAATTTTAGAAAAGAATATATACCTCATATTGAAAATTTATTATACACACCAGCTAATCTATTTTTAAGAAATCTTATTTGTTGATTCTTATATTGAATATTATTAATTACCTCTAACTGATATCGAATAATAATATTATTTGAAAGTATTTGTTCCATATTATTTCCGTATTGATATAAAGACTGAAGAAATGATAATTCACATGTTAATGACCATCCGTAATTAGAAAAATTATTAATTTCTGATTTAGAATATTCAGTTCCATATTGTTCAATTCTTTTAATAGTTTCTTCAAGTTTATTAAAGAATTTTATACAATAAGATAAATCACTTTGTGGAAATTTGATTGTAATTTTATTCAAAAGTGTTATTAATAGACTATTTGAGATAATACAATTATTAAATGGTATTTTATGAATATTAATTCCATGATATGAAATACATTTAACAACTTGTTTTGAATAATTATAAATTAATAATTTTGTATCTTTTGATTTAGTTAATTTTATAATATTATTTGATAACCATTTAATAATCTCTTTTACATCATTACTAGAACTAATTAAATCAATTTCTTCTATTGAAACTAAAGTAGTAGTATCACTAGACTTATCTGAATATTCAAAGTTATTAGATTCATTTTGTGTTGTATCATCTTCTTTTACTAAATGATTTATAGGTATTTTTAATTTTTTTTTATAATATCTACTAATTCTTTTCTGATTAAACGTACTTCTTTCAATTGAACTTGTTACTTTTAATGATTTAATAATTTGTGTTAATGGAATTTCATGTATATCCATAACTGTTTCATTTCCATAATCTAAATCAAATGTTGTTTGAAAATATTCTTGTTTGACATATTCACTATAAAAGAGTTGTGATTCTTCATGTTGTGTGTGTGATTTTTTGACTGATTTATTTAAATTCTTTTTTAAAAAGAATTCTAATAATCCAGGATATGGTTGTTGTGAAATTTCTTTGTGATTTAATAAAAGAGATCTTTGTTTTTTTGAACATTTACCTGTTTCTAAATTTTGAATTGGCTTTCTTTCTGTTTCTTGCATTGGTAGAGGTTCTTGGTTAGAAAATAAGTTTTCTGTTTTTTGTGATATAGGTTTCATAATTACTAGTTCTTTAAATTTTTACTTCTTTTTTTTATTTTTACTCATTCTTTAAATAACAAAATATTTCTAAATAAAATTATCAAACAATATTTTTTGGAACTAAAAACAGAAAATTCATCACCAAATAAGATCTCTTTTTCTTTTTTTATTGTTATTCATAAAAAGAAAACAAGATTAAATCTTAATATGAAGAACTAAAAATTAATTTAAATACAAGTCTTATCATGGCTGGAAAGTATGTTATTTTTTTCTTTTTATATTTGTTAATTTCTATCATTATTTATTTATATTAACTGTCGATGGTTAACATATAGGAAAGGAAAGTCATTATCTACACAACCAGGAATGTTTGGTGTTGGAACTGCTGCAGGAATTCCAGTGTTTGTTAATTTTTACTATCAAATAACTGTGTTAATATTTATTCTATAGAACACCATATTTTGTTATGTTCCTTTCAATTGGACTTATTGCTGTCGTTATAGTTGGACATATTGTTGCACATATGTTTAGAGGAGATTCTAATCCAACAACGAATTAATTTTCGATTGCTATTTTAATTCAATTCTAAAAAACATTTGTTTTCTTTATTAAAAAAAAATGCTTTACTTGTAAATAACAAAATGTTGTTTCTATCATTTAATTATTGTGGAGCATACATTTTAATTGTTTTATCTACACACCCTGTAAAAAATCTTAATCCTGTTTGATCAAATGTACTACATAATATTCCTTTTTCTCCTTCTAATGAACCAGGTTGTGGAATATTGTGTAGTGTTTGTGTTATTGTGTTTAAATTAAAAACAGTTATTACACCATTATTTGATGATGAAATAATTGTTCCATCTTGATTGCGTTTGATTGTATTAATAATATCATTTGGTTTATATAAATTTTCAACAAATTCACCTTTGTCCCATAATTTGATTGAATCAAAACTTGCACTAACCATATTTTCTTTATCCCACACTTCTACACAACGAACTCCTTTTGTGTGTTGAGTTAGTGTTTTCATGCATTTACCAGCAATGATATCCCACATTCTAATTGTACTATCTGCAGATGAACTAATAAGGTGTGGCGATTCTTCCCTCATCTTCAAATCATAAATTGTTGATGTGTGTCCTTCAAGAACATCAACTGATTGTTTTGTCCTAATGTCCCACAACCTTACAACAGAATCTCTTCCACCTGATCCTATAACATCTATTGTTGGGTGCATGTCAACAACTTCAATTCCAGATAAATGACCATGGAAATGTTTGACAACTTTATTTGATTCTAAATCCCAACACTTAATTGTTTTGTCATCACCAGCAGAAAATAAGTATGGGTGTCTGGGAGAAACTTTCAGTGATTTCACAGCTCCAATATGGCCTGTTAATGTCAGTCGTTGTTCACCTCGGATCATACCAAATATTTTGATCGTTTCATCATGTGAACCTGTACAAAACCATTGATTCGATGGGTCAAAACAAATTGATGAAACCCAACCTTTATGACTACAAATTACTCGTTTTAGTTTCCATTGAATCACATCTGTTGTTTTCTGTTCTTTGCTGTCTTTCTTAACTAACATATACTTTGAACAATATAGATTTTTTTTTTTTATAAATATTTGTTATTTCTTAAGCAACTATCATTTTTTTATCATTTATATCTTGATAAATTTGACTAACAACATCCATCGATTTAATCTACAATTTCATTTACTATGACAAAGTGGAAGGAAGAAAATAGGGAATAAAGTTTGTAAATATACTTTCATTTTAACGTTTAATTTTCATTGAGTGAAAAAGGTTATAATTATTTAAATTACAAGGAACAAGTATTGTTTTTCTAAATTAAAATAGGAATATAATAAAGAAGAATTTTAAAAATGACATACAAAAGAATAAGTTAAAGAGTAATAACACAAATTATCAAATTATAGACATTGTTTATATTTCTGATATGTTAGTATTTTATTTATAAAGATTAAATTTATGATATTTGTTATGTATTAATGAGTTGAAATAATTAAAGTTAGTTAATCGAATATTGATTTTGTTCAAAATTTATTCAATTTCTTTTCAATGTCTCATTTTTCTTTATCTAATTTGAGTATTTATTTTATGATTCAGAACTATCTTATTAAATTAACATAAAGATTATTATTCTCTTTATAGTGAATTAATGATTTGTTATTATACAAACTAAATTAGATTATACAATGATTTTTATTAATAAATGTTTCATCATGGATTATCTTTAAATGAGAAATATAGATTGAACATAATAATATTAGTAAAAATGTATTTTAATTGAATAAACATTACCAACAAGATGAATTCCAATATGTAATTCTAATGACCAATGAATTAGTCATAAATAGTTTTTATCATCTGTTTTATGTCTTTGAATATTCACTGTTCTTTAATACAATAAACCAATAAAACAACTTAACAAAATAAAACAACCGTATTAACAAAACAATTATAATTCATTTAATCAACTAACTACATACCTCAATTCATTTTGTGCTCATGACTTTAATTTCTTTCCAATTATGAGAATAAAATGAAATTCAACCAACAACCATTCTTAATAAAAACAATCAACTAGTTTAAAAAAATAGGTTATGCCATTATAATCCCTTCTTCTATTCATCTCTTTAAATAAAATTATAAGAAGAGTTTTAAAAGTTTTTGTACAATTGTTCCGAATCTTTATAAAAAGAGTGTCAATTTCAATAAATCCAAAAATAGGTCACTTTATAGAAGAATAAAGAAAATAAATGAAAACTTCAGAATGAGACAAACCAAGAATTTTTCAAGAATAAAAAACTACAAATAAAAATATTTAGAGATTTGCCAATCAATCATAAAATAATAAAGTAAAGTATTTTCGTTTACAAGTCAAAATCTAAAATTAAAAAAAAGAAAATAATTAAAAAAAAAATAAAAAATAGTCGTAAAAAGAAAAGAAAAGATAATAATCAAAAAATACGAATTAAAAAAAAAAAAAAAATATAAAGAGAATTGAAGTAAAAATTAGGGGAATATAAGAGAATTAATTCTAGAAGAAAAGTCAAAAGAAGTAGTTGATTTTAAGCATTGATTTTTATAGAATGAAATAAATAAGAAGAAAACTAAATATATTATTGTCACTCATTACCAATGCAACAGCTACTCACCTTTGAAAATGAAAGAAAGTGTATTGATGTAAAAAGATGTGTAGCGAAAGTATCTCAATCATCATCAGATGTAGTGAGTGGCAGTCAAGATTTAATCAAATCTGACTATCAAAAATTAATTAATTTTGCTAAAGAAAAAGAAAACGAAATGAAAGAAAAGAAATTAAAAAACACATGTTTACCACAGAGAAGAATTGTAAAATTAACACAATCGAATTTAAAATTAAAAAATCTTATGGGAGTTACTCGTTCAATGCTTAACCATAGAATTGATCTTTGGAAGCAAGAAGCTAACAAAGACGCTTTCATACCATATCCTTTTGTTATGTAAATTATTCAAAATTACTTAAATATTTTTCTTATTTGTTTTAAAAAAGGTTTTATAAAATCTTTTTTGTTTTTTTAAGAAATTGTTTTAAAAAGTAAGTTTAAAAGAAAGAAGTAAAAACATATTATTTTCTAGTTAATATTTATGTTTTTACTTTTTAATATTCAAAAGTAAATATCAAACAACTGTTTGAATATACAAAAGTAATATTTTAATAGGAAGAGTAAAATACAAATCTTTAATAACAACAAAAAAGTTAAATTAAATGAAAACTAAAAACAAGAAATTGTTAAAGAACAAGTCAAAATGAGATGCAGTACTATAGCCGATCCTAAAGAAAGTGCTCATAGAAAACATATTGTGGATGAAATTTATGCTACAGAAGAGTCTTATGTTAATTCATTAGAACAATGTATTACTTCATATCAACAACCATTACTAGCTGATAACCCACCAGTCATAGATGGAAGTGATGTTATGACAATGTTTTTACACTTTCAAGAAATTATTGCAGTTAATTCAATGTTGATGGAAAAATTAAAAGAATTTAAAAAACGAGGAACATTGTATACTAATACTGGAGGTGCTTTTATTAAATTTGTTCCATTCCTTAAGTCATACACACAATATGCAACAAATCAAGATAATTGTCTTCAGGTTTTAAAAAGACTTGACCATGATCCAAGATGTGCTAAAAGACTTGAAGAATTAAGAATTAACATTAAAACAACAAATCAACTTGATTTAAGAAGTTATCTTATTATGCCAGTTCAACGATTACCTCGATATGTTTTATTATTTACTGATTTAATTAAACATACTCCTGAAAAGTTTCCAGATTATTCAAGGCTAATTAAAGTTTCATCAGAAATTCAAAAAGTTACAGTGCTGGTTAACCAATTCATTGTACAGGGTGAGAAATTAAGAAAATTAGTTGAAATATCAAATACTATCGATTTCCCAGGAGGGGATCTTACTGTTGGAAGAAAATTAATTAGAGATGGTATTTTAAATAAACAATGTCGTAAAGCCCCAAAACCAAGATATTTTGTTCTTTGTACTGATATCTTGTTTTATACTCTACCAAAAAAAAGAGAGGTTAATGTTATTGTTAAGCTTGTTGAAGCTGATCTTAGAGATAATGATTCATTAAGGTTTGATATATTCTCCCCTGAAAAATCGTTTAGCATTATTGCTGCTAATGAACAAGAGAAAAGTGATTGGGTAAAAGATTTAAAAGATGCTATTGATAAATGTAAATCTAATTCTGTTCTATTAAAAACACCTAGAGATAGGAAAACAGAACATAAGTTAGTGATGAGACCAGTATTTGTTCCAGATGATCAAGTCAAAGAATGTATGTCTTGTAAAAAGGAATTTGGTGTTGTAAGAAGAAAACATCATTGTAGATTTTGTGGAAGTTGTATTTGTTCTGATTGTAGTAGAAATAAAGTAAAGAATGGAAATAGTTATGAACGAACATGTGATAGTTGTTTCAAGAAAATGTGTATTGAAAATAAAGATATTATTAGTACACAAGAAGAGTCAGATTCTATTGGAAGTGAATTAAGTCCAAGAAGTCCACGAATGTCTAAATCTGAAAAGAAAGAAAAACAAGATAAAAAGAAAGGAAAAAAGAGTGATAGTGATGATAATGATTATTCTCAACAAACAAAAATTGTATCTACCCCAATTATTTCTACTAATCAAGAAAATAATAGATCACCACAATCAGTAAAAAGTTTAAAGGCAATGTGGGAGGCTCAAGCAACTCAATAAATATATTTTAAATTCATCTTTTTTAATTTTTTTAATCTTATAACTTAAAAAGAATAGAATTAAAGGACTTCTCTCTATAATTATTGAGAGATATTTATTTAGTATTTTTAATAGTCAATTTTTGTTCAATTTTCTTGTTTATAAATAATTGTTTTTACACTCTTTTTTTTGATTAAAATACATTTTAGTTTGAGTTTATTTGAGTTTATGTTTATTTTAAATAAAAGCATTACTTCTTTTTCAAAAATATATGGAATTTATCTTGAACATGATAGAATTACGTCTATGTTTAAGGAGTTATAGTTAAATTATAGTCTTATTCTTGATAATTTTGTTTGTTAGAAAAAGTTAACAGAAGGTTATTAACAGAAATTCAATAGTTATTATTCCTAATTCCAAGTCTTTGTGATGTTAATTTTTGTATTGTAAAAGGTGTTTGAGCTATAACTCGTTTTGAGTCAAAATACACTGGAAGAGGACTCTTTATTTTAAAGTTGATAGAACTTCCTTGTGTTATTTTAATTGGTACTTGTAATAATTTTAATGAATGAGTAAAATGAGATATATCTGTAAATCCAATTACCTCAAAGATTCCATCATTCACTTCAGAATCTTGGAATCCAAAAATATAATCATCATCTGTTACATTCCAGAGGGGGATACCACAAAATGTTGATAAATTTAAAATCATTAATATTGATATTTTTGGTAATTGAACAATAACATTATCTACTTGAATATCAAGTATATTACTTAGTGGTTGTGTTAGTGTTGATGTTGAAAATGGATAAGTTAATAGTTTAACTGAATTGTATACAACACTAGAAAATGTTAATGGTGGTAGTCCATCAAGTCCAATACAAAGAAATTTCATAAAAGAAAGTTGGTCTGTCCCCCAAATATCATAATCAATAGAAAAAGAATTAGGTATTTTAGATAAAAACTTATATGTGAAAGAAACTAAATCTCGATTCCAATCACAATAAAGACTTAAGTCGTTATCTAATCCACAAGGAGTTATTATCATTTTTCTTTCTATTTTTTCCATACTAAAAAGATTTAATAATTCATTCAATTCACTATTATCCAATGAAATAACAAGAACACATTGCTGATAATGTTTTATGTATAAACATAAATTTTCTAAATCATATTGTAAGTCAAATACTTGTTCTGGTGAAAGTAATTGTCTACTCTCATTTAATAAATTAATATTAAACTGATTATAAACTTTTGTAGAAGATACAATGATAATAGGATATCGAAGTGGTTCAGATAATACATTATATAGTGTTAGTGTTGGAATGCATGGTAACATTTTATTCAAACAAGTTGAATGAACAACTTTTTGACAACAAACACATTTAAAATCTTTTAATACAAATAAACTACCTACATTTTTGTTACAAACACAACACATACCATTACAATTACCTTTAACTAGCCAATGATCTACTGCATGTAATGGTTTACATCCACACCTAATTAAACTAATACACTCTTCGTGTAATTTAATACCACAAATGGAACATAAACAACATTTAAATTGAGGTGGGATTATTTTTCTACAAACAACACAATAACTTACCCAGTTATATCTATTATAAGACAATAAATGTGCATTAATCTTTTTTGCATTTTGGTCATAATCTTCTACTATTGGATAAATTTTATTTTCAAGACATGGTTCATTACATAAATCAATACAAAATTGATGGATTGTCATTCCACATTGAGCACAATACATTCCCTTTGAGAATAGTTTATTTCCACATATCTCACACCAACCTTTTCCACCATTAAAGAATTGATGTTTCATTTCTTTAAATGTTATGTTATTATAAATCTTTTTTAGTTTTTTTAGATAAAAAAATTTTTTGGTGGAAATTTCCAACGAAAAAAGAACCATAACAGGAAGAAGTTGAAAGAAGAAAATGAGGAGTTAAATATCCACAAAATTCATGAGGAAATTGCTAATTCGTTCAATATTTTCTTTAATAATTACTGAACTTGTTGGATGTCTCAAAATCAATCTAGAGAAGAAATCACATACTGTTTGCAATGTAATTGTCTTATTATTTATTGATTCAACGATTTGACGAATAAGAACAGTAATATAGAAGAATAAACTATAGTTTTCATTTGGTAATGAGTTGATTACAGCATAAGCATCAACTTTTGTTTTACATGTTGTGACATCATAAAATCTACTTGATGGAATTAAGGAATCTGGTAAAGCCATTAAGAAATAAGAAAGACCTTGTAACATTGCAGAAGCTGATTTGGTAGTGTACCTACTATTAGTATTAATTGAATGAAGAACTTCTCTTACAGTTGCTTCAGTTGGATGTTGAATAAGTGTATCAGCTTTAATCTCAGAAATAATATCAGAACCAAGTCTCCAAAGTTCTTTTGGGATTTGTTGATTTATTAATCCTGTAGTAATTGACCCTTCAACAAATTGATAAGGATCTTTCATTGAAGTTACTGTCTTAAGGTCTTTACCAAAGATTGAATCAACTATATCAATTTTACTTGTAATGAAATGAATGCCACCATAGGCAAATGATAAAGAAAAGACATCAATAATAGTCTTTTTACATACAATCATAGCTTGTTCTGGTTGGATAAATAAAGTAACTTTAACGTTTTGTTCTTCTCCAGGTTGTAATAAACCGTCTTGAGGGTTAATAACATAATATGTTGGACAAACCAATTTACTATCAGGACGTTGAGAGAATTCAAATCTAGTAGGATATTCTCCAATATTTTTAATTTTAATTATTTGGTGATAAGTTTGAGATAATTCAACTTGTTCGTAATGAAGTTCCATCTTATCAATTTCTACATGAGGTGTTAATTTTTTTTCTATATAATCCGTCATTTTCCATATCTTAAAATTAACTTCTTCTAATTTGTCTGGAAGAGTTTTTGAAGGGTATAATGTAAAACAACATGAAACTGGTTTATGATCACTTAATAACAAATTATGACTAGTATAATTACATACCTCATATGGATATGCATTTTGTGTTCTACATAACACTCTATCACACCATGCAGGTATTCTATCATCAATATATTCATCTTTTCCACAAATAATTTTAAAAGTTGGAATAAAATGAATTGGTGCTTCTTTAAACCCATAAAAAACAATTCCTTTTGCTTTAGAAGTGTTTAATTGATCTTTTGCATAAAGTGTATCTAATTCTCCTTTATACATAAGATCTCTTACAACAGAATCTTCCATCTCAATACGATAATTTAAATCCCCCATCCAAATAATATAATCATGATCAACAATTTTACATTTTTTAAATTTCAATTCTTCCCAAATCATTTTCCAATGTCCATTTCGTTTATCTAGAAATTGTTGATGTGCAGCTAAATGACTATTCACAAAACAAAATCGTGTCTCATTCATATCAAATCGAATAGCAACTCCTCCTTTATTTGCTAATCCCATTTTACCAACAGCATGCCATGAAGTTTCTATGTTTTTCATTAAAGGAACAATTTCTGGTTTAGCAAACATAAATATAACAATGCCACATAATTGTTCCATCTTTACAAAATGATAATTTCCTTTTTTCTTTAATGTTTCAAATAAGTTATTCTTCCATATCGTTCCTTTTTCTGTAATTCCTCTTCCTGCTACAATACCTGTTGCACTCATATCAAGTTCTTGTACAGAGGCTACTACGATATCACTATCAAAATCAACAATAAGCCATGGCTCAAGATAATTTGGTTCAAATATATTTTGATCAATATTATATGTATGACAAGATACTTTTAATGGAATAGAATCTCTATATTCATTACTAAATTTTTCTAGTTGGTGATACTTCCAATCTTCTGGATTATTTAGATAAAGTAATACCTCCTCCTTTGTTATTTGATCCTCATAACTTTTATATTTTTCTTCTATCTCATTTAATCTATCAATACTTTGTTGGATAGATGCTTCTCTAAATTCTATATCCTCTTCATTTACTTGTACATTATTTTCATCAGGTACGATAGTTGAATCTTTTGGTTCTGTTTTTGGTTTGACAATTTCTCTTACAAATATTTTCTTAAATGTAATAATAGATTCTTGACTTTCAACAACATCTTCATTCATTTCTCGTTTATTGTTGTTAAATAATAAACTAACGACACTGTCATTCATAATGTCATTAACTTCTTCGTATTTTTCAATTGGACAAGTCACATGATCGATAACTTCTACCATCTTGAAATTTTATTTTTCATCTTAGATCTTTTTTTTAATTTTTTCTTTGAGAAAAAAAGAAACTATAAAATATAATTCTTTTATTAATAAAGAATAGAAAACGTTGAATTAGTTAATCACTTGCCTTTTTCACAGCAACAGAACATTTAGAGGAACAGGCATTACATTTAATGAAATTAATTCTGTTTTCTTTAATTAATTCAGTGTCAAGTGATTTGCATTCAGGACATTGAACAAATTGGCTGACATATTTAATAAGGATATTTTCTAATTGATGTGGTTGTAGTTTTGCTTTAATAGTAAATCCTCCTTTAGCATCAATAGAACCAATAGTCATTAATTCTTCTAATACAAACACTTTGATATCTTCTGGAGTTCTATGTAATCTTTTACAAATATCGCAGAAATTTTCCCAAATTACACGCTTTGAACCTTCTCTTACAACCTTAATTTGAGGTAGTTCGATTTCTTGTTTCGATGAATTCTGAGAGATATTACATTGTGCAAAGATACGATCCAATAACTATATTTAATTAATATTTTTATTTTTTAATTCTTTCTTTAAAAAGAAACAAACTTCGTCATATGTATAAAGCCCTTCATTCTTTTCATTTTCTGTGTTTTTAGATTTAGGTTTTGATTTAACTTTAACAGAAGTAAAGTCAGGAAGTTCTTTTAAAGCCTTTTTTGTTTTTTTAACTTTCTTAACTTTTTTGACCTTTTTTTCAGTTGTTGGGGTTTCTTCAATAGGTTTATTCTCTTCTTCACTCATCTTTTGTTAATTTCAGATTTCATTTTTTTTCTTATTAATTTTATTACACTTCTTTTTCTATCTTCCTAAAATGAAATTATAAGAATTAATTAAATTATAGTTTATTTAAAATAAAATCAAATGAGTCATTAAAAAGTCAAAGGATTTGGAGCTGGTGTAAAGATTCATGTACTTCATTAATAAGAACATCAATTGAACAATTTAATCTACTTGCAATTACACTATAAACACACTGTAAATCTGTAAAATGAGTTTCATCATTGTCAGTTTCTATAAGTAATCTTTTATTTTCAAATGCAAGTTTGAGAGAAGTATTAATTTTAATATTGTTATTGTTTAATACAACTCTTCCAAATGATAACCAACAATTCATAGATATTAATTTTTTTGCAACTTCATATGAACTATTAAACCCATGATAAATCCAGTGTTGGTTAATCCATTTCTTTTTTAATATAATAATTTCATTTACCATATTAACACAATGTATATAAACTGGTAGATTATAATGTTGATTTAATTCAATTTGTTTCAAGAACCATTTCTTTTGAGTACTAACTGAGTTAGATGTTAATTTATTATCCAATCCACATTCTCCAATTGCAATTATTTGATTTTGTTTCACTAATTGTTCGAGTATTTGAAGTTGTTTTTGACAAAGATTTTCATCTCCACAATACCAAGGATGTATTCCAAAACTAGTAAGTTGTCTATAAAAAGAATCAGAAGTACCATTTTCATGGAGATTTAAAACACATTTATACCTGGAAGGTAAATGACAGTGACAGTCAATCATTATTTTCTTAACAAAAATAATTACGTTTGAGTTTCTTAAAATATAAATATGAAAAAATTGGTAAAATAAACTGAAAATATTTATCTTTTAATGAACTTAGCAAAGGAGTTCAAAGTCGCTGTGATTGGTGATCTTGGAGTTGGAAAAACATCTTTATTAATGACACAAAAAATTCAAAGTTATGAAGAAAAATTTGGGAATGGAGAAATAAATTATTCTTTTGAATTTGAGATAAATAAATTACCTATTTTACTAAAGGTGTGGGAAGTAGATTGTAGTGAGAGTTATGATGAATTTAGACCATTAAGTTATCGAGATACAGATTGTTTTGTAATTGTCTTTTCTTATATAGATAAAGATTCATTAGTTCATGCTGAACGGAAGTGGTTACGTGAAGTAAAAAATAATGTTACAGATCCAATAGTAGTTTTTGTAATGACTAAGGTTGATTTGAAAAGTGATCAAAATCTAGAAGATATAACAACTGAAAAGAAAATTGTAACAGAAGATTTATTAGAGTCATTTAAATTAAGATCTGAATCTCATTTTCTTTACGAATGTTCAGCAAAACAAGTTGGTGATGTTAGACTTCTTTGGAATAAAATAGCTGAAATTATCTGTGACTCTAAAAAAACAAAAAGAAAAAGAAAATTATCAACTTCAGAAAAAATTAAAAGCCTTTTTATTTAAATCTATTTTGTGTTGTGTTATTTTTAATTTGTGTTATAGATGAAATCTCAACAAAATACTTTTCTTTCAGAAATGTCTTTTCAAGTGGAATGATCTTCTTCAATTAAAAAAATTAGTATCTGAATCAATAAAAAACTATAAATCTGAAAAAGAAATTACAAGATTTAGTAGTAAAATTGGAAGCAGAAAACAAAGAAAAAGCAGTTAATAGTGAAAGAAAGTGTCAAGGTTAAAACTAAGTAGCAATTATCAAAAAAAAAGAACTATAATAAAACTATCAAAAAACAATATGAATTTTTTTTGAAAGATATATTAGGAAAAAAAATCACTATTAAAAAGAGTTTCATCTAAAAAATTTATAAAAATATGGCACCAAGAAGTGTAGTTCTTTATCTTAAATTATTTGCTGCCAGTTGTTGTCAAATGGGAATTCAATTCTCCTATTCTGCAATTTTTGGATTGAGTGGACCATTATTTGGAACTCAATTTCAAATGAGTGGTACAGGAGTGAATATTATATTTATGGTTATTGGTCCAATGATTGGATTTTTCGTTCAACCTATTTTTGGTGCTATTGGAGATAAATGTACATTTAAATTCGGAAGAAGAAGAATTTTCTTAGTTGTTGGTGCAATTATTGATGTACTTGGATTATGTGTTATTGCTGCATCAACCTTTATAGATCAAGGTATGAATGATGGTTCAGAAGAAACAACATTTAGTGATCATTTAGTTGGTACATTCTTAGCATTATTTGGATTATTTGTAGCTTTCTTTGGTGTAAATATTATGCAAGCACCATCTCGTGCTATTGTCAGTGATATTTTTGATGCAGAAAATCAACAAGATGCTAATCTTATGATTAATGCATGTTCTGGATTTGCTTCAATTGCTTGTTATGGTATTTCTGCTGGAACAGTTGGATCATCAAGCACATTCCTTATTATGTTTGCATTATGTGCTGTTGTTGTACTTATTTCCACAATTCCAACAGTTCTTTTCTCTAAAGAAGAACGATATATTCCTGAAGAAGGAAAGAAACTTAATATTTTTGCACCATTTATTGATTTATTCCATGCTATTAAAATGATTAGATTAGATATTGTTTTTATTTTATTAGCACTTATGTTTGGTTGGTTTGCTTTCCAACCATTTAATACAAACTTTACTAATTATATGTCTAAATCTGTTTATCCAAATGGTCCAAATGATGATGGTCTTAGAATGGGTCTTATTATTTTGTGTGTTTTTGCTATATTCCAATGTTTGTCAGTATTTATATTCCCTGTTATTTCAAGCACTATCGGAGAAGTTACTACATTCCTTCTTTTCCAAGTCCTTGCTGGTATTTCTTATAGCATGTTATGTGCTCTCTATTACACCTTCCCATCTAATTACCAAGATGATAACTCAAAACCTCAATTTATTTCCTCATTAACACTTGGATTTTTATCAGCAATCTTCCCTGCTATGGCATTTGTACAAACTAATTCTCTTCCTTATTCTATGCTCAAAAAGGTTGTTCCAGAAGATAGGTTTGGTGCTTTCATTGGTTTAGCTAATTGCGCTGTAGTTTTTGCTCAATTCCTTTCATCCGGTATTAGTGCTCTTCTTCAATTAGCTTGGGATGATTATCTTCTTCCAATTATTGTCTCAGCTGTATCAAGTTTCCTTGCTGCTGGTATCTCAGTAGTTTTGTACTGTGTTAAGACAAGTGAGGAAAGAGATGTACTTCTTAAACAAGCTAATTAATTTGATACACTTTCTTTTTGTGTTATATTTCCAAAAATACTTTTAATTAATAACCAAAAAATTGTATGTAGAGTTAATAAAAGCTATTCTTTACCATGATTTTTACCTTATCATATAAAGATATAACTATCTTACATGGGTTTAACACAAAAGGTTCACCATCTGTTTGTGCTGGTTTCTTTTCTGTAAGTTCTAATTCAATAACCTTACCCTGTGCAATTTTAACAGGTTTTTGCATTCCAGACATAATTAATGGAATTTCAATCACAGACTTAAATCCAACTACTTCAACTAATCCATCCCCAAAATTGCTATCTTTTAATCCTCCAATAGATTCATTTGGAGTAACTCTATCCCAAAATCTAACTCCTCCTCCGTAAGTTACTAAATTTAAAAAGACTAATCCTTGCATTGGTTCTAGTTTTATTCTTTTTCCATCTACGGTTAATGCAATAACTTTATCAATATTTCCAGAATCCTCTGTTAGTGCTTGTGGTGAGCTAAATACGTATTGAATTTTATTTATTACTCTAGAATTGAAAGCATCAGGATTAGCTTCTCTTCTTAAATGGAAGTTTAAGGCAATGCCAGCATCTAATCCAATAGAGAAATAATTATTAAATATTAATTTTCTTGTTTCTCCAGCAATTTCTGAATGAATAGATACTTGCCATCGATCTAATTTTTGAACTAATGCCTGGGATATATTCCTAAGTAGATCCTCAATATTTTCTCCATTATATCCACCTCCCCATCCAGTGCAATGTGAAAGATCATTACCAGTACCTAAAGGAATAACGAAAATCTTTGGTTTTAACTCAGCTTTTCTTAGTTCATTCATGACCCATCCAACTGTACCATCACCACCACAAACTACAGCAATGAAGTCATCACCATATGGCTTAATATATTCAAAAGTTGATCCAAATCCTTGAAACACATCACAAACTTGAGGAACTGAAAACATACATTGAGTCTCTTTCAGAATTTGTTCACCAAGTAAATTACCACTTTTTCTATTAACAAAGAAGATCATTGGCTCTTTATCAAATCGTTTAATCGCTTTGAAATGAAATTCATTATCCATTTCTGTAACAGAAGGAGAAAGAATATATTTGCCTAATACCCCATGATAACAAAAAGCAGGGGCCTGTTGAATGCATTGAGGATGAACAAACATTCCACAATAACAACACCTAAAATCAGTTAAAGCTAAGTTACTTCCTACTGACTTTTTACAAACATAACATGAGTGAGTTGTTAATCCATTTGAATTACAATTTCCTGGAACAAACCAATGATATTCTTTGTTGGACGGTAATGCAACTGGTCTACATAGATGGGTTAATCCTTGAATACATTTAGAATGTACATAACATCCACATATTCTACATTTTAATACACTTAAGGCAGATGAAACAATAGAACTTCTACATACAGTGCAAAATGTTGGAGATACTCTCACTGTCTTTTCAAGAATATGTTGTCCATTTGTACAATGATTTTGTATTTCTTCTAATGAACTAGATTGAGATTGATTTTGTTGTAAAAAACATGGTAAATAACAATATCCAGTACAGTCTTCATGAATTAATAAACTACAAGTTTCACATTTTACTACTCTACTGAATGGAGTAATACTTGAACCACAAACATCACAACAAGAAGCAATTGAGGAAGTTATTTGAAATTTATGTGCATTGACATGAAGGTTACAAAGAATAAAATCATTGACAGGAATGGTTCGTGGCGTTTGGCTCATTATTGTCTTTGGATATGGAAATAAAAGTTCTAAAAGTAATATTATTAAATAAAATGATTTTAAAAGTATTGAAGAATGAAAACAAAAAATAAAAAACATTTTAGAAGAGGATTAACACACAAAAAAAAAAAATAAAATGTTTCATATTTTTTTAAATATTTGTTATTCTGTGAAACATTTTTGTTTTAAATATCACAAAGAGTATTAATTTAGGAATCATTATTCTCAAAGCATTAATTCTTTATGAAACCAATCGATTTCTGGAAGTGATGAAGCTTTATGTTTTATATTTATTTAGTGTAGAATGAAACTTATCTCCTGTTTTGGGAACAAAGTCCCATAATATATTTTTAGAAATAATGAATAAAATTGAATATTTTTTTGAACACCTCATCTTCCTACGACACCTAGAATTTCTTTTTTTATAACAAACAAATCTATTGAACAAAATCCCGAAAAATAGCTTTAAAAAAAAAAGGGAAAAGAGTTATTTTTGTAGAAAAGGGAAGAATAAAAATAGAACCAGAAGATTTGAAAGAGAATTTATGTAATATGCATAGTAATAACC